CTACGACGTTGGAATCGCGCTCCTCCGGCACAACAAGGTCCATTGTTTTAGCTGAGGGTTGAAGGGGTCCCCCCTCACTATTCTTCCCCCCTTGATCCAAAGGGGGGAATTCTGAACGTCCCCGCGCCATTCTCAGTTATTCCAGTTCCTACGGTAATAACCCTTTAAGCTCCTTTCAGCGTTGGGATTCTTTGTCTCCGGCCGAGGTGTCCATCATAGAAGCCATCCTTGATTCCGCAAAGTCATAGTCTGCCAGCGTTTCCATGAGGTTTGCATCCGAGCCAAGTCGGCTCAGAAACCAAAGCTTGATTTCCCCAAGTTATATCCCCGGATACACACCTACGTCGTCCCGGATTTCTCCTTGTCCTGGGGGAACTTTTAAGGATTTGTCATAGATATCATATATAGAAATACATCTCACGGGCTCGGAATTCGCATGATTTCGGATCGGATGGAGATTCAGAAGCCTCTAACCTGTGCTCACATAGAAAGGCTTTTTGGCGCCCTGGATCCCCATCCTATTCTAACCCGAGACGCACCATTACGGCTGCTCGGGGGCGTGGTTGATAGCATGAGTGGCTGTCGGGTCTATGCCGATCCTGCTCATGTCGCATAAGGTTGGAAAGTGACAATTTCGGATATTTTTGTTGTGGGCAGCAGAGGCTGGATTTCTACAAACGGCGATAGACCGAGCTTCTATGACGTGTTGTGCTTTTACTGATTCCGCACGAGAGATCTGCAGGTGGCATAAATGAGGAGGACTCAGAAACACTATCAGATGGTCCGTTGGGGTTTTCATCTCATCCCTCGTGCCTTGTGCTCCGCATTACGATTAAACCTTTTATGAGTTATCTCTGTTCAATTGCTACTCCGTTTTCGCCTTTTTTTCTTAAAAGGGAACGGTGATTTATCCTAGTGCGGCATTCACTCTCCCGGTTCCTCCGTTTTCCGGGATTGCCCACTTGGGATTTTGGCTACCGGGGACAACGGAGTGCAACTGCGCAGTACCGGCACCAGCACCCCCATTGAGCACCAGCGAGGCGGGCCGTGAGTTGTGAGGCATGTCCAGAGCTTGCCGTCTGGACGCCCCATCCGCACCATCACGATACATCACTCGCTTGGCAACACCGGTAGGGTATCAACCGAAAACTGAAGACAACTTTAAATAGAGTAATATTCAACCCTGTAATCAGTGATCGAATAATAATGGCAAAAAAAAAAGATTATAATTATATACAAACATCCAAGTTCAGCGCAGCCATCATTCACAAGTCACTTATTCCTCACCAAGGGATGCAATCCACCAGCTTCATTCCTGGCCCAGGAATGAGATCTACCAGCTACTTGGCACGTGTATCACATTCCAGACAACACGAACGGTATGTTTACGGTAGGTTACCATTCGGTACGATACGATACAGTACGGTAACCCACCGTAAACATACCAGGGGCCATTACCCGATCGTCATGAAAAAGCCCAGAGCGTAAGCCCGATTCCACTGCCAAGAATGCCTACGCTAAACTCATAGGATGTGGGGAATCAGATTACCTGACATCAGGATTTCAAAACGTCACAAATGCCATCTCCCGGTATTCTATACGAGTACGGTACCTTCCTAGTGTGATTCACGGAAATTTACCGTATTATTTTTTTCGAACACTACCTGGCCTTTTACGACTGTTACCCGTTGAATCCGGGCATTATTCCGGCTCGGTGAGGGTTTCAAGCGCGCTGGAACGCAACCTCCAGACACGGTAGACCCGTGTTGGACATCATTAGCTGGATTTCGCAATTCTGTTATCTTGCGAGATTAGTCCCATCGTGGGCTGGCATCGTCGTTTACGAGTACATACCCCGTGCCAAGGTTGCAGCTAGGGCGCTGCAACCCCCGAAAATTCGCTGGCTCAGTTTTCTGGGGCACTCATCCTGAGTGCCTGACAGCCCAATGCAACTTGACAGCTCAATGCAACTTTGTGGCTCAAACAACCAGTAAAGCCATCTTAAATTTTGTAACTCAGCATAATGTTGTAGCTGTATCTAATCTTTGAGCATCATACAACACTGCTATCTCATTAAATATAAACATAGTATATCAGGATCTATATTCAGATTTTACTGACATATTTTAAATTTTTTAATAAGATGTACCAACTCTGGTTAATCATACTTGTAGATGTAAAATTATTAGATTACAACTCTAAATATATTAGTAAGAGTATGAAAAATTGTAAAATAGTAAAAGATTACATTAGAAATTATAGTATAAATACATAATGTAAGATGGTGCTATAAAATTAGGCTGAGTCACAAAATTAAAGGTGGCTTTACTGGGTTTTTGAGCCACAAAGTTGCATTGAGCTGTCAGGCACTCAGGATGAGTGCCCCAGAAAACTGAGCCAGCGAATTTTCGGGGGTTGCAGCGCCCTAGCTGCAACCTTGGCACGGGTAGATACTTGAGAACCTACGGAAACGGCGAATCTCAAGGGGTTTCACGGTGCTCGAAGAGGAATCTCCTAATAACTACTTACCATCTAGGTATCCTGACCGCGTGGGCCCTATGGCAACCCTTCTAAGAATGGGAATTTCGGGAAAGGAAAAGAAAAAGAAAAAAAACTTCCAGAAGGAGCTTTTATCTCGCTGACTACCAACACGCCGCGTCCATTCACCGGATCTTGCACCCTTTACCGGGGTCAGTAGCTTTCCATACCCGAGCGGGAAAACAGCGGGGTTAGTTCACGGCCTATCAATGATAGGAGTGCAATTTGGCGGAAAATGACCACTACAACAGACCAAATCAGACATTTCCTACTGGAACCTTTCACAGCCTTCAGAATTGTAGTCGCTCCCGCGAATCAGAAGGGAAAGCTATCTTTTCTCCCTCAGCTCTCCTGCATCCCCGTCCATTGCGGAATTCATCCCCGTGTGTATATCATAGTGTCGAATTCCACTTGTCGTGATGCATGTATGTATGAATGGATGGTTCACTGGTGCCTCACTGCGAGCGGGGAATCAAACGCCCAGGCTAGCTAGCTAGCTAGGTGATGACGCCGTGGGAACGAATGCTCCTACTTTCTCGGATTTTTTCCCGGAGGAGGTTTATGACAACAGCCGTGTATTATTATATATCGAATGCGCTCTTGTGGTGCTGCACCCTCGAGAGATTGGGTTGTAGATATTGCTAACCAGAAGAAAACACCTCCGCGTGCGGTGTAGTGATAACGACCGGGACATTTATTACCGATAGGAAAAAAGGAAAAAAATTAGGCTTGACCAGCTAGCTAGCCCCCGACAAGACAAGACAAGATCCGGAGGGCGGGAGTTACTAGCGGCTGAAGATTACGGTTGCAAGACTGGGTACCGTCAGGCTATAGTATAAGTCCAACATTTCAAATCGGGCGTTACTATACGTGATCCCCCTCCGCCTTAGCATTCCTTTTTCATGTTTCAATCGGCCTATCATATCATACAAGTAGCTTCTCTTTTTCGCCTGCGAGAGGCAGCCCGAGTACACAATCTCTACTCCGCCACGCACCTTCCCCATAGCGCAAACATTGGCCCCCCGGATATCACCCATGCTCGGCAACTTAAGGCATCTCGGAGACATAAATCATGATATGCCTCAGCGTCACCAGCGAGCACTCGGAAAACATGACATTTGAAAAATGATGGTTACTGAGGTAATGATCGATGGTGAGGGTTTACGCAGTGGAGTGAAATGGCTCGAGTGGAGACACGAGGTTTGGCTTAGGTGAAGATGAAGAGCATGATTGATTTGTCATGAGATGATAGAAAGGAAGAACTTGAAGAGAAGGGTATAATAAAGTACAGGAAGTGGTTGTCTCGTGAGAGAGAATACAAAGGAAGAAAGATAGGGATCGGAAGGATTTTCATAGCTTACGCTTCCTTCAGCGGTGCATATGTATACCACTACAGCTTCCATGTGCGGCCATCAACTGCTATTTCCAACATTTCTCTTGTGATCGGGTGAATGATAACAGTGGCGACGAAGACGAAGCGAGCTGTTAACCCACGGGGATAGGTGCTCCCGGAAATGGGGGTTTTTCGGGCAGTCCGGGCTTTGGATGAGTTGGGTTTGGCCTCAACCGGCCCTGCCAATGAATGATCTTTCAAAGCGGTCGGTCCCATCGAAAGGCTCGACTCTAACTTGAACTATGGCAGGTGGCTCGAGAGCAACTATCTCCCCTCGTTATCATCACACCTGGGATATGTTACAGAAGGTGCCTTTCTCATATCGGATTGGATGATGGAATTTGTCAGGAACCGTTACGGAGTGTATTCCCCCACGCGCCCCAGTAGGGCAAATACTTCTACCTATCTAGAGATGTTGTGAGAAAAGTAAACAAATAAACAAGGAGGAGATGTGTGGAGGGGGGAGGGCGAGGGCGAGGGCGAGAGGGAAAGAGACACATATATGATGACCGGTGATCCTGGCTACTGAGTGGGTGGTGGATCGGTGCGTGGTGGCGTCCGAGGGAAGAAAATAGTGGGACAAGCGGCATTACACACACCAAAATATCGAGTTTTTTTTTGGCCCATTGATATCAACCGGGAGTTTAGCATTGAGGTGAGAGTGATTTCATATGCTGCTTCTCTTCCCTTTCTCCTCCTCTCGTTTTGGGAATCTAGGCCAATTCAAGTGGGATACCAACTTGTTCCTGCTGCCACATTGGAAAAAATGCTTTCTAGAGCGGTGAAGGTAATCTCAATTCCACCAGTTATAGATTATAATTCATTTGATAAGGACTCTCTGGGATCTATGTGGGTAATTCCCAGAGGTAGTTGAGGCTACCTATGCAATACCTTGGATTTTGAATATTTTTGGCAGTTTGTGATTACCCTCAATACCTTTTTTTTTGGTGGGAGAACGCTGTTCCACAATTTTCTACCACCGGATACGACCAGCCTCGGTTGGGAGGCCTGGCTTTAATTTTTTTCACCCGATTTACAAATAATACTACATAATAAAGAGAGGGAGAATACAATGACCTTATCCATATTGCTAGAATATCTAAGCACTTGTGTAGAGGATCCTGTTATATGCATGATACCAGTATTCACAGCAGCCCATTTCAGCCAATCCGTCCCGGCCCGGGCCGCGCACCCCTAGATTTCCCTAACCCAACCCAACCCGACCCAGCCAGTCCCAAAAACACCCACATGCAAGGACAGATAATATGAAAAGAGAGAGAAAAAAGAAATCCATAAAAACCCACTCTACTTCGCCCTAACAATATCCCTATTCAACAAGGCCCACAACTCGGGGCTGACATTCGGCACAATCTCTCCGTTCCGCCCCTGGACATTTTTCCCCTTGTTTGATGCGGCCCCGGACGTCAGTTCCGCACAGCTGCTCGAGGAGCTCTCCCCACAAATGCTCCCCGTTCTCCGCTTCCTCATCTCGCAACTTCCCTCCCCGGGTGGGACAAAACCGCTTTTGCGATCCGCGGCTTCTATAACCCGTTGGAATTTGTAAAACAATGCTTCGGCACGGACCCGAGTTGAAGATAACTCGATGGTTGTGGATAGTTCGTTGATGTATTTTAGGACCTCATCAAACTGTTTCAGATCTGCTCCGAATTAGTGTAATTCATTGCGATAACAAAAGGATAACTTACGGTCCATGATAACATCCCGATGCCTTTCAAGAATTGCCAAGGCGATGAACAGGTGGAATTGACTGCTGAGGAAATTTGTCCACATGGTTTCCCATAGCCTGAGCACGTCATCCCACTTAAATTCCCGCTTGTACCAAACTAACAGCATTCTGAAGAAGAAGAAAAAGTTTGTGGAATCCGCACTCTCTAGATGTGCATATAATTTTGGATCCATCAGCTGGACGAGATGATCCAACGCCACGAGCTGTGCCCTCATCCCAGTTTGGTCTCTCAAGAAATTCCGCTCCATCCGCTCCATGAAGCCAACAAATGCCCAGAAGGCTGCCGCATCATCCTGTAATACCGCGTAGATGGGTGCCAAAAGATCGCTCATGCCCTGCACGTAGCCGAGGTCGGTATTATACTCGTTATATGTCAGGAGCATATCCTTCATCTGCTCCAAGTGAGCGTTGGTGCCAGTTTCGGCGAACGGAGAACCAGGGTCTGGATGGGGGATATCCTCGCCCGCAAAGATCGGCACGCCACGATCGGTACGGTGGACATCCTTCTCTATATTCCGTACGGCAAGCGCCCAATCAGTTTAGCTGTTCCGCAGCTTGATCGTTCAATAATACATACCGATACGGTTCTTCTGGTCTCTCCAGTACTCATCATTGTTTCTCCTATCCAAATCATCCCACCACCTCCCCTTCAATCGAACATACTCGTCTCTCTTGCTGTTCATTAGAGCAATGCGCTCGTCCCTAGTGCTGTCCCAAGGGTAAACCTCCAATAGCCACAACCAAATTTCCTTCCTTGCAGCCCCAGGCTCGACTCCACCGTGGAATATGCGCTCCTTGACCTCGTTGGTCGCAATAGCTAATTTTCCAGTTTTCGGGTCAAACCACCTATTCCATTCCTCCAGCGATACTGGCTTCCTCTTCTCTGAATCCAATTTGGTACTCCCAGACTCGAGATCCAGAATCTCAAACTCCCCGACCGCCGAATCCTCCAACTCCAGCGCATCCCTATTAGCCCAGACTACCTGGTGGTCTTGTTGCCTCTCCTTCTCGCTTTGCTCCGCAATCCCCATAGCCCACCGCGCAAGGTAGAGCCTAGCGGAGTCGAACTCATCCTGGAGGCTGACCACATCGGGATTCTTCAAAAGTCTCCTGACCTGTAAAGGGACCTTTGGGGAGTCAAGGATGTCCTCCGCAGTCCTCCGGGTGAACCTTGTAACACGGGAAATCTTTTCCAAGAACCCCCATCGTGCTTCTTTAAACATCTTTGTGAAAGGATCCATCCCAGCCCCACCGGACGTTGAACTCTCCCCGGCGCGGCCAACCGTAACTGGTTTCGAGCCAAACGATAGGAGATCCTCTTGGCTAGGCTCGACGAGATAAACACTCGGCTCCACCTCACTCTTCTCGACCCTTACATAACGCCTTAACCACCTAAGCACCTCGTCTCCACCCCAATACAAGGCACCCCCTTCACCAAATGGATCAAAATTAGCCTTAGCCCGTTTCTTGGATTGGGCGATTGTCGACGCACACTCCGAATCATGAAAGAACAAGGCGGGGAACGAGTCGCCAGCACGAGTATTAATGATGACACTTCCCCACCACCACCCGAAATTCGGAGGCCGAATGAGCAATGAATAGATCTGCGAGACGGGAACGGCGAAGGCATAATTCCCGACACATGATGTTCCCGGCGCGTATACAGTTGCCGGTGGTGGGGGTACCAGGTATGACTGTCGGGGCGGTGCCTCAGCATCGATAAGATCTACCTTGACATAGGTATCGTAGGCGTCTCCGAGTGCCGATTCCGGTAGCCAGGCTAGAAGCAGCGTGGCCGCAACCGCAGGCGGGGTCGAGGGGACATCGCTCGGAGGGGGCTTTTGCTGAACAAGGGCTACAAACCCAGGGATATTATCAATTTTCGAGGGCGTTGGATGCACATAAACCTACACTCCCAAAGAATATTAATTTCAAGAACGGCATCTCAAAAGCGCGGGTGGCACAGGATAGAATCCCCCAACAGTCCAGTTTCTCATCCCGCTCGTGTAACCGACAACCGCAACAAGGCAAACAAACTCGCCTTTGATTTTGAATACAGCAGCTTCACACTCCGGCCGGTGCTTGTGTTCGTGATAGTGCTATATCCATTCTCGTCATCGTCGGAGATGTCGTAGTACGAAGCCGTGGGAGAGGCCGGGGGGGTGAAATTGCGTGGAAATCTTGAGGAAGACATCTGATCAAAGAATGACCAACAAAGAGTCGTAACGAATGGAAGCAAGAACCGGGAAAGCAGCGGGTGTGGCAACACCACAAGCTCCTTGCACGAGTACTTATAGCTATCGAAGCGGGGTTCGGGGTGATAGTGGAAGCCGAAGACTCTTCGCTTTAGCCTCTCCTAGGGTAGGAAAAAGCAGATTCAGAGGAAGCCGCAGCGGTTGAGGGTAACGAAGGGCAGAGGAAGAGTGGGAGAGGCGGATTCAAGCGAACTGGCCTTCGTGGACCTTGGCTGGAGGTGGCGTGGCGGGGCACAAGAACGCGCGTGTTGATTCAGCCACATTTCACTCGCACGGAGGCACAGTAGGGCAGGGTGACCACTCCACACACAGACCACCCGTATGATACCGTGCCTCATGCCCCGCTAAGGTCAACCGAACTTCTGAATTCTCGGCCCCAGCTTTCCTCAGTTCCCCTAGAGAGCTTAAATAAAGGCAGAAAAGGGTGAAGAAAGAGTTAAAAAAAATCGCTACAAACACACGAAATGTCTTCCTCCGAAGCAGATGTGGCTGCCGAAAAAGCCGCCGCCGAGAAGGAAGCCGCCGAGCAAGCTGCCTTGCCGTACCAGTGGAGACAGACCATTTCCGAGGTGGACATCACCGTTCCGGTTCCGCAAGGCACTCGTGCTCGCGATCTTGTGGTAGAAATCAGCTCCGAGTCGCTGAAGGTTGGATTGAAAGGACAGGAACCCATCCTGGAAGTTTGTCCCCCGCAGCCCTCCCGGCCTGTCGCTCATTAACTGGGAATAGGGCAAATTCCCCAAGCGTACCGTCCTCGACGAATCAACGTGGTCCCTCGAAGACCAAAAATCCGTCGAGATCCATCTGGAAAAGGTCAACAAGATGGAATGGTGGGCCCACGTCCTTACCCACCATCCCCAGATCGATACCTCAAAGATCCAACCCGAGAACTCAAGGCTTGGAGATCTCGATGGAGAAACCAGGGCCATGGTCGAGAAGATGATGTATGACCAGCGCCAGAAGGAGATGGGCAAACCCACCAGCGACGAAGAGAAGAAGATGGAGATGCTGAGGAAATTCCAGCAGCAGCATCCTGGTGAGTGGGCCCTTGTTGGCATTTGGTTTATTGATGTGCGATACTAATGAAGGCAGAAATGGACTTTTCCAATGCAAGGATGGAGTAGTGGATATCCGCATGAGCCACGCATCCATGGCCCAGCGTTAGTTAATCGCTTGTAGGAGCACTTAATAAACAAACAAGTAATCATATCTATGAAGCTGGCCCTCGGATGCTATCCGCTCCGGGGCTTTATACTGGAGCACTGTGCAGTCGTCGCTGGGGACGGGTGGGTATCTACTCCAGCAAAAAAACTCCCCGAGTTATGGCCATCTACCCTCCATCCTCCCCTTGGCTAATGCGGCCAATGATTTCGCTTGCCCGCGCAGTAACTTTATATTCGAGAAGATGGATGACGTTCAGCCAGTGTTCGTAAAGACAGCCGTCAGCCATTCTACGCCACCATAGCCACACGGGTCAGTTCCCGTACATGTATACCGAGTAGAGTATGATACGAGCATCGGTACTCGTAATTTAGCAGACAGTGCCCCATGGAAGCAAGAGCCACCCAGAGCTCTAACTCGTGGCAGCAGCCTCATACACGACGCCACCGTGCTAATAGTACAAGCATGTCCGAGCAAAAAACCCACCGCAACTACGTATCCCCTCATTAAAACCCAACTTCCCATCCCGCAGCCCACTCGCAAATCAAATCAAATCAAAAAAAAAGGCAAACAAATTAGCCTTCGTTACGACATACGCGGCCCCGGAGCGGGGGACACGTAAGCAAGGAGTTCATGACGACGTCCATCCGCCGCATCATATCATATCGTCCGTAAGGCTTTTCCATCAAGGCGGACAAAAGAAGTCCAGCCAGGAACGCGAAGAGATCACATGTGGCTCACCGCCTACCGTAACTTGTCATAGAATTTAGCACGATATTGTAGCAACAGCTTTAACTTACCCCGGGAATAAAAGAGTCCTCTCTCTCTCTCTCTCCCGTAACTCATTTAATATAACTCGAGTAGATGGATTTGCTCCACGGGATGCACCTTTATCCGCTAGTTTTTTTTTCTTTTTCTTTTTCTCCAAAGTTGGGGTGGCGGTGGTGTACGATACTGTATGACATACATATCATGAATACTCACTCGATATCATTCTCTCACTTGTGTTGCCACTTTTTTCATTTTCTTTCCATTCTTTCGATGTCTTGGTTATCATACCCCCCCCTTCGTGGGTGTTGGGACGTGCGGTACTTTGTTATGGGATTTAAGACATATTGATGGATTGGTTGTGGTTATGTTCTCGCGTCATGTTGCTAATTCATGTCGCGCTGGATTGGTTCTAGGTGGGGCGGGGGTGGGGTGAGGGTAGGATGTATAATACTGTACATCGTGGGACTTGCTCATGGGTGAGATATAGTAGCTAGCCACCATAACCCCGGACTTGGCAGCTTGCTTGCTAAACCATTCGTATGCTGGTTCCTGCTATTTTGTGTCATGCTTACGCCCACGCCTCCTGCTCCACCATGTCTAGAAGGGCCAAGAACCCCCCCATGGAGCCGTAAAACAGTGGCGGGTGGCACCGAGTGAGCATCGATGCTTAATCCCATTTCTCAACTTGTGGATCGATTACTTTCCTGCCCTCAGACTTACGAAGGCCGCAACGCTATTGAACGGAGCACCGGCAAGCAGAAACACCTTCGACTTCCGCGCCTCCAAGAAGCAAGAAGAACATTCTCATATCTCATTATCAACCCCAGCACCCTAGATATCCGGCCTAATAGTCCCCAAACACGCAAAACCGACACACTACACAAAGACGCAGTTTTAAAGAAGGAAGGAGAGACAGGATCAGAGGATGTAGAAAGGGAGGGGGAAAATTGTTACTCCAGAAGCAGTAGTTTCTTCCGTATCATATACAACCATAAGGGGAAGGATGGAAGGGAGAAGAAGTAAGGTTTTGTTGGCTAGTTTTGCCTGGTTTCAATAGCCTCCACGATTGCCGCCCTGCTGCCTCATCATGCCAGGTCCTGTCGGGAGGCCAATTCCCATTCCTAGCTTCCCACGTTGGAGGTTACTACTACTTCCTTGGGACCCGCCGCCGGAGGACCCAGCTGGTGTGAAGCCTGGAGAGAAATTGTTTCCGTCATAACCGTCGCTGTACCCACCACCACCACCGCCGTATCCATCGTCCCAAGGCATCCCTGACTGCCCATGTGATCGTCCGCCGCCTCCATCGCCACGCTGTTGGCCATACCCACCACCATTATTCCTCGGCTGTATAGACGGTGGTAATGGCATTTGTACGGACGAAGGCGGGGGCGGGGAAGGCTTCGAAGCATTCGGTGGCGGAGACGCGGTTCTACCACCCCACAACCTCTCCTTAATCCTTTGCTGAGCCGTCATCGCAACTCCCGCTGCCCCCCCTCCATTTCCCCCACGACCACCTTGCGGCGGCCTATCGTCATCACCAGGAAACAGCCCATGCTGCTGCGCTGACTGCTGGCGAATCCCAAAAGTTGGTCGCTGGCCGCCTTGTGGCGCCGGCGTATCCCATATATCGCTCAGCGTCGCGTTCGCATTCTGCGGCCCACCGCTCTGCTGTCCCCGCCCAATCATTCCGGGCCTCTGCTGGCCGTAATTGTTCCGGAGGTTCTGTGGCGGGGGGGGGCCCCCGCCGAGCCAGTCCGGGAGCGGTCGCCCCTGCTCTTGGTAGTAGTTCCTGAGGAGGCGGGAGACGTGGGAATCATCCTCTGAGTCCCCGTCTTGCTCGTCGATACCGCGGAGGGTCTGGTAACGCGATTTTGTGGCGGTGAGGATGGTGGAGAAGTACGACATTTTTTGCTATTGTTGCTCGGTGAGTTGTGGACGAGCGATGGCTGGCAGGATGGTCGAGTGTGCGAGGTTGGATGGTGGAGGATTGTGGTCTCCTTCCACCGGCTTGGCTCGTGAGTAGTGACTGTGGTTGGAGTGGAGGGAGATAAATGAAGGTGGAGGTTGGATAGGGGGGCAGGGGTGTGTGTGTGATCCCGTAGCAGGAGGTGAAGCAGGTGCAGGGTCCTGGTTTTATGTAAGGTGTGAATTCTGTGGGTTTCAAGCAAGTTTCAGGAGTTCCGAGAGAAGCCCCGTTGCATAGATGAAAGAAGCCTATTCTATTCAAGCTTCGCTCGGGGAGCGGAATGGCGATGTTTGTGCCTCTGGAGGAGCCGCGAAGGAGCAGATCAGGTCATGTATTTTTAGCGGGGAGGGTATGTCTCATACTAAGTAGCAAGGAAAAAGTCACCGCGGCACGTGACCAACTATCATAATAGCAAGCTTCTGACGGTGTTCGCCCAATGCAATTGACCGAAGGAGCGAGAAACGCACCAAAACTTTGGCCCGCCCTCCGAGACAAGTAAAATAGGATAAAAAAAGAAATGAAAACACCACACCTTACTAAGAGAGGCAAGTCCAACGTCCCATCATAGCACACGGTCCGTTTACCGGTACAGCACAGTACTCGAGCCCTCTACGGCCAACAAAGAACACACAGCGTTTTTCGTTAGAATAATTCTATCAAAAACAATTTGCACCCCATAATAAAAGGCCGTCACAAATGAAATCAGTTAAAATAGCCCTTTGCATATCTCAGCAAAAACCCTAGCTACCAGCGCCAGCACCGGCACCGGCACCGGCACTGTACGAGTACAGCACTGGTGAGATCCAGAAACCTTAATTCCCGTGTCCAACCACTACTCCGCCTCAAGAGCTCCTTCGGGCCAAAATTTAATATAGATATGGTGCGATGTCATGACTGGCGGCCTGTGCGTCCAATACTGTGTTAAAGTTCATGTATCATACTCGTATGATATAGAGCTAAGCTTCTAGGACAGACAGGCGGCCAGCACCCACCACCACCTTAAGAATTTTTTTTTTTTTGGCGGGGAGAGGAAACTGAACCGGATGGATTGATGGATGGGGGACTTCCGTGAGCGCTGGTATGGTGCAAAGCGACTACAATACAACCTGTACAAGTGCCATTTCAAAATGTAATGCCACCTATAAGCAGGGTTCCGGGTAATGACCACCATTACTGGCATGAAATTTGATACACTATACCGCAATATCTTGAATTGTTTATAGCTTGTAAAATATGCCTTGTTTTAACCGTCTGAATATATATGTTGTTATCATTATTACGTTTCATCATCATAGTGGTGTGTTTTAAGTGGGAATACCGTAGGTGCGCCGTGTCGGATTCTGGGGGTCCTTTTCGGAAAGGGAGGGAAGGCGTCTGCAGGGTGGGGTGGGAAGCATGTATTCCTTCTAGGACCGGTACAGTACGGTGATATGCTGTACGAGTGGTTCGGTGGGTGGGGTAGGGCCAGTATCATAACGTTACAATCATCCTTTCATTGTTGTATCATATATACCTCTGAGATACAATACAGTCCGTGTTATGATACCCTGCTATGGGGATAGCTAATCTCAAGAGTTTTTTTTATTACGGTGCTGTGGTGGTGTTTGTCGATGGGAGTTGTGGCTCGCTTAGTTGTGTATGAGGGCTGTTGGGGTAGTGGATGGAAATACACTGTTTGGTATCGAGGACTAAGAGATGTTGCCATCCGCCCATTTTACTCTGGGGACAAGTACAGTACTCTGGAGCTGGCATTGTTGTTGCCTCTATGAAGAGATCTTGGCTCGGCGTAGATTACCTCATTTCCGGGAAAACGAACCAGTGTGTTGGATATTTCCATCCACCCGATTTACGAGTTGCGTCAACGAGACTTGCGCCATCATCTCCGACGGGGTTTCATGTATTTAAGGGACCTGTTCATCCCACCCAGAAAGCCGGGCAGGTCTCTTCTAAAGTTACCGCTTATCGTTGTATACTTTTGTCTTCAAATTTACCTCGATTTTCAGCACACGGCGTTTTAGAGCTCATCGAGTGATCAGTCATGATTTGATATCCGTCGTCGAAAATTGAAACCAGCACAGAAAAAGAAAAAAAAAAGTTAATCCCCAGAAAAGCTATATACAAACCACCCAACCGCTCCAGAGCAACAGGGGACAGGCGTGAGATGAGCTAGGGTCGCACATAAAATCGACAGAACCCCCCTATTTCTTATTCCTCTCGCCATAGGCCTTGGTAGCATAGTCACCACCGATAACAATCAAGTCCTCAGGACGGTAATCGTGTCTGCCAGAGAAGTAGCTCTCGAGGATCGCCTTGGTTCCGGCAGCGTACCTCTTCTGCGCGTCAATCGAGGTGCCGCTCATATGCGGTACCATCGCGTTTCCACCGCCAAATGGGTTCTTTGCGTAGCGCAAGGGGTGGTCCTTGGGCGCTGGTTGCGGGAACCAGACGTCTCCTCCATATCCACGGAGGTGGCCGGACTTGAGAGCTTCCGCAACATCCTCCTTCACGACGATCGCGCCACGAGCGGTATTGACGAGCCATGATCCCTTCTTCATCTTGCCGATCAGCTCCTTATTAAAGAGCCCACGTGTCTTCTCGTGCAGTGGGCAGTTGATGGTCACGACGTCACACTGGGCTAGCATTTCCTCGAGATTATGGACGCGGCGGCAGCCAATTTCCTTCTCAACTTCGGGTTTCAGGGGCTACCAGGGATAATTTAGCGGGGCAAAGAACTGAGGGAGGCCAAGGAGGGGAAGTAAACCTGGTAATCAAAGTACAAGAGTTCCTTGCAATCGAACGGTTTCAAACGCCTAAGGACACGCTCACCGATTCTTCCAACTGCGACAGTTCCAACGACTTTATTCTCAAGGTCGTACTCCTCCTTGGCGACGGCAGCAACGTTCCATTCCCCGGAAGCGACTTGCTCGTGGGCGGGGATGAGGTTGCGGACGAGGGCGAGGATGGTCATAACGACGTCTGCATGAAACCATGTAAGCTATCGAACAGACACTTAGCCAGAGGTGAAACCTTACGCTCAGCAACAGAGACTACATTCGAGCCAGTAACCTCGGCGACTGTAATACCACCGTTGGTCTTGTTGGCGACATCCAAATCAACGTGGTCAGATCCGATTCCTGCGGTGACGGCCAGTTTCAAGTTCTTTGCCTTTGCTAAACGCTCAGCGGTAAGGTATCCGGGGTGAAACCTGAGACCTATTAGTCTCCAATCCCACTAACAGCGATTCCGGGGAACGCCTACGGAGTAGTAATAATTATCTCAGCGTCAACCAAATGTTTGTCAAAAGTCGAGCTCGCACCCTCCTTATCAGAAGTAGTAATAAGCTCGTGCCCTTTATTCTCAAGCCACTTCCTCAGCCCAAGCTCATTTTCGGTAGTTCCGAGCAACTCAGGGACATCACGAGCGTGTTGTCCGCCCTGCATAACCACCCAATCAGTTCAATTCACCCCGGTAGCATAGCCAAACGAATAAACGGGGGGGTCCGCTCACATCGTAAAGAACAGCAAGAACCTTAACCTGAGGGGAAAAAGTAGCGGTTAGCGTTCTGGCACCGGAAACAGCACCAAACACCGGCTTCCTCGCGGACAACAACGATGGGCGGAGGAATTGATGTCTCAACAGTGACGGAACTGAACGCAGAGGAGCAGATAGTACCATAATGATTGATGGTTCAAGATGAAAAATGTATGAGGGTATGGGGATTCGCTTTTAAAACTAAAAAGAAGGGATCGCTCGTTACTAAATGGGGATCGTGATGAGGGGTTGGTGGTGTGGGGGGGGGGGGAGGAGAGCGAAGTGGCTATGCATTGCGGATCATGGCTTCCGATCCCTCATTGACGGCAACTACCGTAGGGCCTTCAACAAACTGACCTTAAAGTACTCGTACTTGCATGTATGGAAAGTATCTGCGCTGCACCTGACGAACTAGGTATACCGAATGCGAAATGAGACGCTAGAAAGTGGGGACACAAGATCGCAATTGTAGAGGCACGAGACTGGAGAATAAGAACGCCGTTCCGATTGGCTGAAGGAATGGTTGATGAAAGAAGAGAGAGCAGGTCCCCTTCGGCCCTCTTTATAAGAGGCTGACTCCGGAGGACGGGGGGGGGGGGGGCGAGATGCTACCTCACGCTTTCCTTTCAACGCATTCTGAAGCTGGAAAAAGTTTTGAAAAATTGACAGTATACCGTAGCTCCAAAATGCTTCCGGATGTCTCCCCGGGTTCCCACATATTATCAAAAAGCGCCAAGCCAGGCCATCTCCCGTCCAGAAGAAGCGTGCGAGAAAATGCAACAAGGCCGATTTACCGGCCAGTGTTTCCCCCGTCAATTTCTTAGCTAGTTTACATGTAGAGTTCTAAAGAGACTGAACAGTGGAACCCAGGGGAATCGATTTGCATATAAATGGGGAACATGGTTCGGATTTGCTTCACTGGATCAGTGGTTGGGAAGATTCATCCATTTTGGCAACCAGCGTCGCACCGTACCGTACCGTACGGTACTTTCCGAGAGGAAGGGAAAAGCAGTCCATGCACGGGAAGGGGAAGCACGTCCCCACGATAATCTGCTTGGACTAATGCCTTTCTCCATTCTGCACGCTGCACAAAGCCGGCTCCGAACGGGAATGGAGAGGAAATAGTTTTCAAGCTTCTTAGTTCTGGTCACTGTACAAGTACCGTACTGTACCTCGCCCCGCCGGGGATATATCGGGATTGCCGTATCTGGCTTAGTGCGCTAAGGATTCCCCCCACGTTTGAGGCGTTTAACTGTAGTCTAGTCTGCCGATGCTCGTGCGTTCTATCCGTAAGTCGGGTTTACAAACTAGTCTTACATAATTTGGGGGACGGCGGACGGATCGGGTACGTACTGGAGTAATTTACGATATAATACGTACCCTACTGTACTAATATTTCTTAAACCCCTTTCTCCTATGGGGACACCATTCATTTGCTCCCCGTGGCTGAACAAAGAAAACCAGCATGAATTGCTCAAGAACCTGGCATTTGGTTGGCCAGCACGCAGGAAAATAAATAAATAAATAACGGTAGAAGCAAGGAGTGAAAACATGCTCAACGAGAGGGCGTGTAGAACTCGATGTGAACCAAGTACCGGTTCCTGCACCTACACATTAGAGCCTCCCCCCTCCCAACTGAGCTTGAAGGCTAGCCCTTTAAAAGGTACAGCACAGTACAGCAAAATAATTCCCGATGTTCAAGAAACTGGTTGGCGCGCTCACTCGCTAATTGTGCATAGAATCATTCGCTCCCCCGAGTTATTGAACAGTAAACTAATAAATAAACTAATAAATAAACGCTGTGACCAGGATCTAGAAATGAGTCGAGTAGAGCCGAGTCGGACGCGCTTTTCGCTTTGCTTGAATTTCTTCACTACAGGATTTCAGCTCAGCGGGGGCCTCTCCAGGGCGGGAGAACAGCCGCCTTGTCATATGATATTTTACGTTGTCCCGATATTCTACTCCTTAAGGAGTGGATTGCCTGGTCACTGTGGCGAGCCTGGGGAACTCTGCAGGGAACCTACGTATGATACTGGCGTAGGGTCGTGGAGAGGGTGCCATATCATACGAGTAGAAGCGGAAGTGGACTGCTGACTTAATTTGCACTCGACGGGGGGGTGGGGGAGGCACCACCACCCTGGGTTGCTAGATACGACATTTTGATTAGTGCTCAAGTGGATATTGCCCAAGAAAATTCGTCCTCCACCCCTGGAAAAAAGAGTGTTGGCTATCACTTCCAACATTTCCAGGTATTTCATACACTGTACATATCTTTTCGCTGGAGCTGGTTTTGGGGCTAACTGGGGACACTGAATTCCCGGGCTCGTAGGAGAGTGGCAAGAAAATGGGGAAGTTTGCCACATACAAAGCAAATGATATGCTGTCGGGTATGGAGATCCTGAACCGTTTTTATTGATAAGAAAAAATATTCGTAGTATGGCTTGAAAAGTAACGCTTAACCTCTAAAATCGTATTATATGATACCCAAATTCACCCAACTCTCTCCTCTTCTTCCCCAACGTGTTCTATTCCACCTACACGCCTCCCTTGAATATTTGCTAAATCCAACATCCTCCTCCGGTGGTCCCCATCCCTATTTACATATCTGAAAGATCCTTTACCCAAAGTTCATTGTCACAACCTCCATCAATTAGCAAAGAGATTCCAAACATCCAGAATGACTTTACCATCACGGGCTCAACGGATCCCTTCCCTTTGGCCGAGCATTTATTGTGAACCACCGGCACTTGCTCGTCAGATCACGATACATCCGAAAAGATGGTCAGAATTCAAGATTTGCAAGTGGGATTAAAGAGCACAGAAGTAAGCGACAAAAGAGGAGGTATGAGGAATAAGAGGTGGAAATGGTTGCTGGAAGGAAATAGAATCTGAGGAAATAGAAGCAGGAAGTGAGGGAAGGGGGGGAGGCTAGAAGGAAGTTGGAATGGAAGGGAAGAGAAGAGAAAAGACGCTGTTGTCCAGGCGGTGAGAGAAGGGGTTCTAGAATGAGGGGACGATAGATTATGGGAAATTTCATAGCTTTGTATTTAAGAGTGCCTGTTGGCCCCTTGGTAAAGTCTGAGAAGTGACGAAGAATTAAGAATTTAAGATACCATTCCAATACCGAAAAAGCTTCCAGAGCGCGGGAGGACAACGAACAGCTCCGAATACCAACAGAATTTCCCCTCCTTACTCTCCCAAACTCCTCCAAAATCCTGTTCTCCCTAAGGAGACTTTCCATTCTGACTCTTGGGGGCATTGAAATGAATCCCAAGGCGAACGCCCTTTCGAGTTGTACTTGGTCAAAAACCGAGAGCATGGTGTGTGTGGTAGGTAACAAAAACTTTTGATGAGGTTGTGCAGGTAGCAGAGCGATGAGTCCGCCGTGCTTTTGCTCACCCCTTAGCACATAGCGGAAACTTAGAAACTATACTACCGCACAGTTATCCTCTCCTCCTTCCTGATAGATGTAATCCCATCTGGTGGCCATTAGGGTACAACCACTGTTCTGAAGTATGACAGACAGAAGGGTTGTGACTGTTGATGTTGTGTTTGGGTTTTTTCTGTTTTCCTGTTTGTATATTATGATATGTGTGTTGTGTGTGCTCTCAACCTGTATTTAGTCTATGACAAGTTGGTCAAGAGCAAACATCAATCATCTTTCCCCTCTCCAACACACTACACGTTTTCCCTCCTGTACTCCACGACGATTCCCCTGCCGACCCAGGTCCGCCATCGACAGTTGCTATCACTTCCTCCTACCGCATCCCGTCTTCTCCCCCTTCCCCATGCCAACACCAACATACTCTAGCCCATTCAACAGCGCCTGCCGGCTCCGGCGGACCCACTCTAGCAGCTCATCCTTGCCCTCCTGTGGATTTTCGAGCCGGTGTTGGAGGGATTTCTCAATAGCGGGTTTCATCTAAGCTCCTTTGATTAGGGTGTATTCTGCTGCCATAACATCTCCCTGGCCATCCCTTCTATTGGCTACTGCTCCATTATTACGGGGGGAGGGGAAGAAACAAAGGAGGGGGTGATACTTTCAAGAAAATCTTAAAACTGAAAGCCTCTTCCAGGCCTTCCTCAGCAATGGTTTTTAGAAAGGTTTCGTATTTATCCATTACGCTTCTTTCCCCCACCCCTGTTCTGCCTCTGCTCCAGTGCTCCAAGTTGATGACCATGTTCTGGATAACCTTCCAATTTGCGAATACTTTAGCTATTTTTTCGCTCTCGCCATTGGAACACCTTAGAGCCTCTTTTATAGCTATGGCAGCGGCGGGTGTTATTATTGTAGGCTTGGAACGGAGACTGGTTCTTCCAGGGGCTCATGGCAGCGATGAGCCATGCGTGGTACCTTTTGCTACTGGTTGTCAAGAGCTTGGAAATGCGCGGGTGCGAAACGTTGGATCCGAAGGGTCGGTGCAACATGGTGTCCGCGGCTATCTTCATATATTGCGCCGGGAGGACGGGGAGGTTCATCTCGTGGATTAGGTCCAGGGAGGCATGGGGATTGCAGTCTTGGAGCATTTTTTTCAATCTCGTTGCCGACCCGCTCGCGGGAGATTTTGGCTTTGAGGGCCCACTACAAAACAGGGAGGAGGCGGTTAGTTGTTACGAGTGATAATCTGTGTCTGTGAGGAGAAGTTACATGCCTTGATTTCCGGTAGTTTCATGGCGGCCTTGGCTTTAGGAACTATGGTAAAGACAAGCCGTGAGGCAAAGCAAATTAGGTGGAGGACGCGGAGGGGGTCATCGGCGAAGGTTTCCTTTGGGGGTAGTGGGGTGCGGATTAAGCGGTCGGCCAAGTCCTGCAGGCCGAGGCCCGTGAAATCCTCCACTTGTTCAGTGTGCAGGTTGCAAAATAAGGTGTTGATAGTACAGACGCGGCGGAGAGCGGGTTCCGAATTGCAAAAGCCATCAGGTCAATGCCCTGCCGTGAAAGGGTTAAGAAAGGGTAAAGTGAAACAAACTACATGTGGAATCCGGCCATCTCCAAAATACAACTCACTCCTCAGATTAACAAAACCGATCTCCAATTCGAGAATATTTATACGAGCAGTCTCCAGATGCTTGGACTTGGCGGGGTTGCTCTCGACCTTGCTCACACGTCCTGAGTCGATCCCGCACTTCTCCGTATTTGCGCTGATGTATGATACTCGGACATTCGAATCACGAAACCGTACCCAGTCATACTATTTATCTCCACGTCGATGTCCGCGCTTGGGAGCCCAAGAGCTTGTCGCGGACCCAACCGCCGGCGAAGCGAAAAACCAGGGGGTCATCCTAGGGTCTATCCTTGTCGATTTCTTGGGCAGCGTCGACAAAGGGTTTGCGTAGGACGGCTTCCTTGAACGTGAGGGTTAGAGTAGGCCGAGCGATAAGGATAGTGGGGGCTGACATTGTGCAGGATTCTTTTCGAAGTGCTTGTTGGGGGGTATGATAGGATGTGGTAGTGGAAACGATAAAATTGGGCGAGTAGTAACGTGTGATCATACCTCCTCACGCAGCACACCGCTAGGATATGAGACTAGTGCCGGGTCGACAGGAGACGTGTATAACGGTTTCAAAGAGCGGTGGGGCTGTCAAGAGAGTAACCTGGCATCATAACCAAGACGACACTGGAGAAAACAGAGACACACTGGAGCTCCAAGGAGGTTTTAATGGCCATGCATTCACATACAGCTCCAACTCCTCCGTACTGGATCAAACTGGAAAACTTGTATCATACATCGGCAGTACTAGCTATCGTGATGGCAACCTAAACTGCCATACTTGAAATGTGAAGTTATCCTATAATCGGATAACGGTTTTTTTTATGTGTGATAACCGTGCCAAGGTTTCCGCCGATTATGCAATTGATCGCAGTTCCAAATCTTGTGGCACATCGCAGACGTGCTCCTCAGCCCAACGCAAGATTTTAAATTATCCACAGCATTAACACCACTTGCCTCTTTGAATTATTTAAATTAATTATTCTGCTGCTCGAACAACTGTTTGAGTTTATTATAAACCGGTTTCCGCTGTTTTTTCTGGCTCTGATGTGCCTCTTTTTACCATCTTGGTTGATGAGTTTCAATCACCGGCCATCCCACTTGGCTTTCAAGCTCTCTGGTCCAGTACTAAAAACTCCTGTGCCATAGCCGCAATATTTGCAACTGCGCCCAGTTACACAATCGGCGGGAACATTGGCGCGCCTATAGGACAATAATTCTACCACCACTACCACGACCCCGATTATACTTGAGTGCAGTACAACTATCCAATGGCAACAACAAAGTAAGTAGAATTACACTAGAATACCGGTAACGAATGGTTGAGCGCCAACGCAAATAGGTTTCCCACAAAGAAACAGTTCAAAACTGAGACCGACCGTCGCCTAGTACCATACTGTCAAGCCTACGTTGTGGTTCGTCTTAGATTATGTGGAAATTCGTACTTGTCATGTGTGGACGGTTGTCATCCTCCACGCATACCAATTGCTGTAGATGATTGAATTCTTTTCGTTACGCGAGCTGTATTATAAAAGGAGGTCAATGGGACCCTTTGGCCGAAGAGGAGAGAGAGAGGAAAATAGGATGGATCATGGGCAGAACCGAGAATGAAACTCGTTGATTCCTCTTGTCTTTATCTTCTTCCTTAGTGATCCTCAACAGTATTGAATAGGCAAGCCGCTGACAACTGACTGATCCCCTGTGCCAGTAATCCACCAAAGAACGTCGATCGCGTCCACCGAGAGAAATCGAAGCAAGCAATACGTGAAGGACCTCCCACAATACCCAACAGTTGCAAAACGGGCCGGTATCATGGCTTATTGGTTCCGTTTTTGTCAAACAGGACCTTAGGGCTAGGGTTAGCGCTGCTGGTGTGGTGATGAGGATAGTTTGAGCTCACTTGCAAGGTCAAGGTATCATACTGTTATAATACCGAGTATTCTAGCATTTTCCTTCTTGCAATCTGCACCACAGTAATGCACCTTGCCGTCTCCGGGAACCCGCAAAGCGCCAAAGCTCTTCGCGAGGACCCTCCCCCATCCAACTTTCCCATATCAATATCTCTGTGGGCTAGCAGCAATTGCACGACATGCATCTTCCCAGCAGATGCCGCAATATGCAATGCGGTCCTCCGATTTTCATCAGGAAAATTGACATCTATCCTCCCATCCCCCAGCAAAATCTCAACCACGGATTTCACAGCGCAAGGGATAGCAAAATGTAGAATCGATTCTGTCGCTTTGTGGATTTGCCTATCGCCGTGTGCTAGCAAAAGGCGTGTCGTATGATAACGGTACCGCGAATGAGTTACCTAATCTCACGCTAGTGCAAAGTGGGGTTTCATGCAGTGTTCGCAAGAGGCCAGTCTTGCGAACATTGGGCCTAACCCGGCCGGACTGGGCTTTTTCGGGAGCTGGCCTGGCCGGACTGCAGATATCCGCAGGCTTCCGAGTGATCGAAAGTGATTGCCCCTATTCCGGTAAGTTTCAGGGTTCTAATAATATAGATTAAACAGAACTAGTATATACGTCAACAGTCTCTGCAGATGCCCGGCCTACGAAGCCCAGGTCAGTCTCACTTTGACCAGGCCTGGCCGGAGTGTGTATCTATAGGATCTCTGCGGGCCAGCCTGGCCGCTTGTGAACACTGGGTTTCCTGGTCCCGGGATAAAGGTTGACGTCGACTCCGGCATGCCCAAGTAAAATTCTCAGCATTCCGCAGTCATTCTGCGTGACTGCCACATGTAGAGCCCTCGCGGCCGCTGCCTCCATTATTTCGCCAAGCAAAGTCCACTCTTCGATTTCATCAAAATCGACATTGATGGCCTCTAATACCATCTGTTCCATCTTGTCCTCATTGTCCATATCCACTTCAGGGTATTCTCTTGGCATTCTCATTCTGAAATCGTGGTCGGGAATGATCTCGTTGTGAAACTCTGCAAAATCGGGGAACAACGGATAGCTACCCCGCCCCAAACACGTGCCGGTGACCATGATCGAGGAAATCCGGCGGGCATCCACTATCAATGTCATGTGCGATGGTCTCTGGTTCCGCCCGTGGAGTACTCGAGTATTGTCTACCCTATTAGCATCCATTTTGGGGCATCCTGGGGACTGTCGTATGATACCATGCCTCGTTCCCGGTCCAGACAGCTAACTTAGATGAAATTCTGTGCAACCAAGGTGCAGTGTAGCCGGGAACGATTCACGTCAACCCTAGCATGATCTAACTAATAGTGCTCTCATCGGACCCGGCCACCAGGGGTATTCGCGTCGATTCCGCAATCTAATATCACAGCACTTCAATCTCCTCTTCGTTCATGGTACCTACCGCAACATTGATTGAGAAGCATCCGGCCAGTGCTGATGACCTCCAATATCCCACCTCCCAGGAGCAATCTAACCGTAGATGTAGCAATAATTTTCGGCGGCATGGCAGAGGGCACCCTTGCAGTATTCGCTACCACGCCGTTTCAATATCCGGCGAATAAGAATTGACCGGGGGAAGCTTTGCGAGACGACGGCATGCTCGGAGAACGGAGGCAATACCCGGTATATTTCGACAAGTATAATAATTCATGGAAGTTGCAAGGAAGGAAAGACATTTTGAATCCCCCTGAGGGGGGGGGGGGGCAGGTGAGAGAGAGGTGGCGGTAGGAAAATCTGGGGATCAAGCTGAGATATCTATACTGGCTATGGCGTTCCTCGTCATTAAAACGGTATTCCATCCTTTCCCCTTTCCACTTCTATCCGCGTGTCATGCAATAGTAATGGTTGCGCTAGCAAACAAACGTCCCTGGATTATGAGGAAAACTTAACGTATGCATTTACAAAGGATATCCTTGCTTACAGATATCAACTGTGGTTAGTCAGAGCACGATGCCTCATATCCTCTAATCCATTAATAAGGCTATAACAGCAATATCAGATATAAATCACCTGCGAATATATAGCCATGTTGGTAGTAGAAAATCCGAGGAGGCAACGAAAGGTATGATCACACTGTTCTTTCTATAGGTACTCTCTCTCTCTCTGAAAAAAAAAATGTATGCATATCATCGGGGAATCATATACGGCACGGTACTCCGGAAATTCCGGGGGTATCCGTTAAGCGTAAATACAGAAAGTGCCATACTTGAGGTGTGTGTAAGATTACCAGTATGATATATTTGCTATCATACCATGACCGAGAGCGGGGGTTTTCTTATGTTTAGGCAAAGGGTTGGTGATAAGTGTCCAAATGATTTGAAAGGTGAGGGGAAAAAACGGGGGATACATACAGGTGATACATACAGGTTGGCAAAAAGGCCCCTAGGAGTGCAGGGAAAGGGTATCATAACTTATGGGGCTGCCTTGGGGATCCAAGGAATTATCATACATAAAAGACTTATCCGGAAACGGCTCCACCCAACCATCCTTTCTTCTACGTAGAGAAACATATCCTCAAAGAGGGAAATGTAAAGATTGGTTGGTCATCACCTAACCAGAGGCCTTTGGTATATACATCATATATATAGAGAGGGGGGGGACGGAACACACTAGCATCCAACATTTGATACGCCGCACAAGAAATAATCGTTCAGTGTAATTTATGTTGGTATCATACCCCATGTCCAGCGCTTGCAGCATACCGAGCCGAACCCCCGCGTCTTAGCCCCCTCATAAACAACGGCGGAATTCCAAACCCCGTTATATGATATCTGAAATTCCCCTCACCTGTCGAACAAGTCACGGCTATAACTCGTCGTTCCGAGGTATCATACCGGTACTGGCCTTCACGCAAGGGGACCATATAATAGCACCCGGCCCAGTCGCGCTCGGGAGGATATAGTATCAGAACGGTCGGAATGGCCGGTAGCCGAAACTGTACTTTTCAGGCCTATGATACTATTCTAGTCATACTTCTGTCACCTCACCGCCCGCGCTTCCCAAATCTGCCCATCCCACGAGACAATCGTCACCATTCACATTACAACAATGAGCCCACAAGTTCGTGCAGCGCTCCATTTGCAACTGTGAATCTACCTACTTACACATTCACCCTGTACAGTGCAGCACTTGTACAATACAGCACAAAAAAATCGATCGCTATCCGCGGGTCCGATCCGGTCTGCGCGATACAAAATTAAACAAGAGGGAAAGGGAAAAAGCAAATTACAAGAGAGATACGATATCATGGCTGGCAGGTAGCATGCATGCGGGGATCCAAAAAAAAGGAGAAGGAGGGAATAAGTAGGAAGGACCCCAATTAGACAAGATAACAGAGTTTCATCTGTAAAGTTGGGGGCAGAGCTATAAGTGGAAGGGGAAAAATGATTCGGGGAGAGGGTGCATTGGTGGTGCTCCGATCCAAATACCGCAAGTTAGAAGGGTGCATATACAGAGAATGGAAGACAAAGTAAGCTGATTGACAAAGGAAGTGAGGTTAAAAAAAGACCCAGCCCAATCCTGTGCTATTCCCCCACCCTACCTGCCCAACCTATCGATGATAAAGGGAAAGAAAGGAAATGAAGAAAGGAAAAGAGATAAAGAAAACTCCGTCCTGAAAAACTGCTAAAAGTAAAAAAAAAAAAAAATAACTTCGCTGCTATAGATTACTCTAAGGTAATACGAAAAGACGAAAAACCGATCCTGGGAAGGGACTAATCATCATTCTGCTTCCGAGGTTCGGGAGAAGGTGGAGAAACTATGGTAGTAGGTGTTGGTGATTTTCCACCGGAGAGTCCCGCCTCATCGTCAATTGCATCGTCCGATCCCCTTCGCATGTTCATGAGCGCCAACTTGGCCTTTGCCACTGCATCTTCGACACTTTCTCCGTTGGCACTGCCCACGATGGCAGCCGCCCCCGTAGCAGAGACATTACTGCCCTGTCGTCGCCGCCTTTCCCTCCTAAGATCCTCTCCACTGCCCCTCCGCCGTCTAACCCTCAGACTACCCGCAGTACCAGCCCCCTGAGCTCCGAGCATCGCCGAAGCAGCTAATGAATCTCCACTATTCTCACCTCTCAATTGAATCAGCATTTCCTGCGTTTTCGAGGTCAATGCATCTTCCTCTTCAGTTGCCGAGGAGGGTATTGAGGGAAGTGGTGAGAGAGAAGGTGGGGCCTCATTTGACGAAGTTGGTTGTTCCCCAGCGACACTCTCGGCAACACTTGCTCCTGATGCTGTTCGGCTTGCGCCGGAGGCAGTTCTTCGACCGCCTCTTGCAAGGTTTCCGCGGCGAGCCCCGCGTTTTTCTCTTTGGGCCGGTCCAGCCTGCTTCAGTTTCTCGAACAGGGCTTCCATCGCACCAGAACTGTTGGGCGAAAGTGCCTCGCTGACTTTCTGGTTGTGTGCAGCTGCACTGAGAATTTGCTTTCTCTTTTCCCGCCGTTTTTCTTCATCCTCAAGTTCCAAATTCTTCTGGTTGGATGCCTGGATAAAGACCTAGATTAGAGTATTGCACTAGAAATGTAAAGAAAGCTCTTACCTTATAGTTCTTTACGAAATCAGAAATCATCTTGAAAAATCTCTTCCTCGAGGTCTCGTCCGTGTGATCCTCGCCATAATAGGTCAAAAGGTCGTCGTAAGTCTTGGTCATGGCCTCAAGATGATCTTTAAGATATCCAGCCTTCTTCCTCGCTTCCGGCAAAATTGGCAACACCACCTGAAGCACGCGGTCTGAGGGGTGAAACTTCTTAGGATCGCTCAAGTTTCCTGAGTCTACAGACGCCTGGATATTGTTAATGTTATCGGTGAACCTCTTAGCTTGCATCATCAAATTATCCACGTCCACTATTTTCAATCAATCAGTATGTACTTTTAGGAACATATCGCCACATTGATCATGGCACTAACCTTTCTCAAGTGAAATACACTCATAGAGCTCATCCACGAACGATTGCCATTCAGGAAATTTATTCCGAATCGACATTTCGATGTAATCCATAAAACTGCGCTGGTTTTTCTCATCCTTGACGTTGACTAATCTCGAGAGCGTACCAAGCTTAAACCCGGTTGCTTGCTTACTAGCGTCATTCATGAAATTTCCCATCGTAAGAATGACCTTAGAATATGAGTTAGTATCCACGTGATTTTGCCGAGTGATTTCTAATGACTTACATTCAACACACCGTGGAAGGCCTTGGATCCCCGAACAACATCCGAAACCTTCACAACCTGATGTAATTTTCCCTGAAGCTCTGTGTAATCCGGGTCTAAACTTCTTGTAAGTGCTAGGGCTCTTATCCTTGACTTCCAATAATGATGGAGATTGTAGGCCGTCTCCAGGTAAATGTAGTCTTCTCTCCTCAGTTCATTTGGATCAGATTCCCTCTTCTGCTTTTCGGCGTCAGTCTCCGTCCAGTCCGTACTATACGGCGCCAGATTCTTTGAGAGATTGTCGCTGATATTGCACATTTCGTCCCTGAGCAAAAAGTCCATGATAGCGGCATTGTCCAGGATATCTTTATCACAACTGACGACCTTCTTGACAAGCTGCTCAACCGACAATCCAGTATATTTCGAGAGCGCAATCTGAAGACTCTTGACAAGACCAGAATCCAAAAATTCCTTCTTCTTCTCTTCGTTATCCTTACCCCTCTTCAACATCCTAGTCTCTTTAAACGCGAAAAGGCGTTCCATCTCCTCGAGAATACCTTTCTTGCTAAGCTCATCAAACATAGTTTCCTTGTCAATACGGTTTGCCCAAAGAGTATACTCAACACCATCAAGCTTCTCCCAATGCATGGGCTTGAGCTTCTTTTTGGGTCTGATCCCTGTATAAAAGGATCCTGCAAGTCCGCTTGTCGGAGGGAAAGCACCAGGTATCGCAGGTGGTGGTGGCATGCCTGGCGCTGGAGGCCCACCAATCTTGAATCCACCCGGAGGTGGGGGAGGAGGAGGGGGCGGCGCACCACCAAAGCCAGGCATAGGCGGGGGAGGAGGTGGAGCAGCGCCACCAAAGCCAGGCATAAGGGGAGGAGGTGGAGGTGGGGCACCGCCGAAGCCCGGCATTGGAGGAGGTGGAGGGGCGGGGGCGCCCCCGAAGCCCGGCATGGGCAGGGGCGGGGGAAATGGGGCACCACCGGACCCTGGCATTGGCGGTGGAGGGGGCGGAGGAGGCGCAGATGTTGAAAATCCAGGCATAAGAGGTGAACCCGCCGGGGGAAGTGGGGGAGGGGGCGGGGGCGGGGAACCATCGAACTTGACACCCCCACTTGGGGCTACTTCATCCACCGGAGTCTTTGGGGAGTCCGACTCTATGCTCGAGTGAGAGCGCCCGGTGGTCACGCCATCTCCAGTGTCTGAGATATCCTTGGCCTCTGCCTCTTTGTCCTCTTCGTCCGGATCAATGACTGGAACCTTGGCGGCAATCTCCCCTAAGATACCTGTAGCTCGTTCGGGGTTCATTTTTGGCCTGGGTATGTAGCGATCCTTGGTTGCAAGCGGTCTCCTGCCTACCTCAACGATCCTTGGCGTCGCATACTCAATGAAATCGTCATCATCAGTCTCCTCCGCAATTCCGTCTTCCCTTTCTCCGCGCATCCTCTCACGCTCGGCCAACGTTTCAGGAACAGAGGCTTGCCGATAGTTAGAGGATTGGTTGCCCCCACGTTTGACGCTTCCAAAGGTTGCCGAAACATTTCTCTGTCGAGCAGCTTCCTCGAAATGTTCCCGCTCAAGAAGCTTAGCCTCTCTTTGCACAGCGTCCATCCTTTCCCTCAATTCTCTCAACCTGTCACTCGGGGCAACCTGCTGCCACACTTTGCCTTCCAGTTTGAATTCTGTCTTCTTCCTCTCTAGCTGAGTTTCCAACCGTAACATCAACCGTCGGCGGTCCAATATTCCCTTCATTTGTGTAACATCAGCTTCCGCTGGTATGGGCTTACCATCCTTCCTCGCCTGCTTAACCCTTTCGGCATGCGCAGCGTCAGCTGCATCTTGAGTATCACGAAGCATAAGATATAGCTCTCTGGTTTCCAGTTCGCTCTTTTGCATCTGCATAGCATGTGCAAGCTTAATCTCTTCTAGCTCCCCTTTCAGGCCCTCGTTCTGTCTCCTCTGGATTTCAATGACCTGGGTTTGTTCCTCTAATTGCTTTTTTAACCTTGCAATCAGGCCGTCCGCACCCATGTCAACTTGGGCTCTCATAGCATCTCGTTCGGCAATTGCACTCTCTGCAATTTGTCTAGCCTCGCTTGCCTCTTCCAATGCATGTCTAGCCTCGCCATCGGTGTGCAGTTTGTCCATCAAAGCCTGAACCGAAAAGTTGAGGCTCGCTTTCAAGTCCATATCTGGTAGACGCCGATCCATAACCACATAGCCTAATATCGAGTCAACGAGTTGAAACATCCGGAGCCGGTCCTCATTATTGTTATCCCTCATGAGCAGGAGATGTTGTAACGTCGACATGAAATAATCCTGGGTTCTGGTATCCCGAACTTTACTCATTATAGCATCCACAATAGCTACTGGGTCGTTCAAATCCTTTGGATCCCCTTCGAGACTATCAACCATACTTCCTCCATCCCTCTCCATGAGTTCATCATAGTCGACAGCGGCATCCTCTTCATACTTCTGGATTTGCTTGTCAATTAGTTCGTACTGGAATCCTTGCATCTTGGCCGCTATCCTCACAAACCCACATCCTTTGAACTGAGCTCGGATGTGAATTCTGGCATGCAGATCATCGGCTCCTGAGGCTATTATGTTGATAAGGAATAGAGTAGCCAAAGCATATTCCATGAGCAAGCTCTCCATCCCAATACCCCCAGATCTGACTTCATCGCTAGCACCCACAAGACTTCCAAGCTTGCCCCTACCATCGATAGTGACCTCCACAATCCTGAGCCATGAGTCAAACCTCCCATTTTCACCCTGATGCGTTTTGATTTGATCCAGTGCTGCAAGAACCCTAGTATGGCCATGTGGTCTATCCCAATGGCACAAAAAGGTCAAAACCTCACTGACGAGTTTTCTAGTTGTCACCCTTGGGGACGTAAGAGATGCCGTAAGAGCGGAAACGCAGTGATGGTGTCTGAGAGCATCGTCTGCACCGTATTTGTTGTTCATCAATGCCTTTAGGCATTTGACAATGTCGTATTCCCGGTCAAGCATCGCATCGGTTCCACTATTTTTTCCACTGTGATTGTTTATACCCCGCAGAACAGTAGTAAGAGCAACTTGTCCTTGGGCTTCAATAAACTCCTTTACCCAACTATGCCACAGGGAAAGAAATTCATCAGTAACCCGTGTATATCGCAAATTCCATGAGGCTTTGCATACCTGATTGGTTGAGTCCTCAGGGAAACACTCAAACTCCCGAGCTGCTTCGCGCTAATGGTCCCATCCAGTATCTTCTTCACGTACCACTCTGGACTGTCTTCGTCTAAGTCACGCCCTTGTGCCTGGGCGGCAGTTCGTCTCTTCTGTTCCGCTTGGAAATCGGCTAGTTTGTCTTGGTGAACCATAACCCATTTCTTGCTCGGCGGATATGCCATCATTTGCCGTTTGGCTTGTTCGGGAAGATTCATGTACCCACGCTTTTCCATTAATTCGTAAAACATGGCCTCCACGACACGGTCATCGCGCGGTCGTTCAAGAATAAACCCGTCCGCAGACTGAAATGACATGGGGGAAGGAACCAGGTCAGCGACGCTAGGCGTCACAGAAAGAACTGAATTCCGTGTGGTGGAAGAAATAGAGGAGTATAGGGAATTCTGGTCAGAAGAAGAACGGGGATAGGTAGAATTGGACGAGCTGGAAACCATAGAGTTGTAGAAGCTGGGTGTAGAAGAATGGTTGTCATGCTGTTGTTGACGAGACGAAAATGTCGCGTTCGCATATGGACTTGGTGGTCCCTGATGATGATAATGATGTGCTGGAGAGGTCATCACTGTTGCTGAGGAAGAGCTGGAAGGGGGTGGCCTTGGTCCCGAAGGATGAGAATAATGCTGATCCTGCTGTTGCTGAGGATACACAGAAGGATATTGGTGAAAGTCTCCCGTTCGTCCTAATGCGTGAGGAGTAACCTGATCGTCGCCTCGAGACACGGGGCGAGGATAATCCGCGGGACCCGGAACCGGCTGTCGATTCAGATCTGCTGCTACTGAATCGTAGGGTATTGAGGTAACTACACCAGCAGAATAGTTCAATCCATTGGCCATGGTTGGCGATAATTCTGAGGGGTAGTAATGGCTGTCCCTATTATCTCGGTCCCCTTTCGTACTTGACAAGGAAAGCCGGTGGTGGCTCTTGCTCCGGGACTTGGGCGGATCCGCATCTGATGATGGATGTGTCTCGCCTCCTTTTAGTGTGGACGAGGAGAACTGCGCAACCTTGGGGAATTTATTCCTAGAGAATATAGAAGTTTTCCCACTCGACTGACGAGCCGTTCCTCCGGAAGAATTTGAAGACATGACAGCACTGGGTTGAAGAAATGAGGTTGGTTCAGGTTTCGGTGATGACGGAGTTGCGGGCCGTGGAGTTTGAGGCAAGGGTTTTTGCTCGATCATGCGCGGTGCGATACACGATTTTTTATGAGTCTGCGCTTCAACCAGCAAGGTTGTTGTTGTTGTTGTTGCTGTTAGAAGCGGTAATTCTATGGTGATGGTAGGGGGTGCTGGAATAGGTTGTGGGTAGGTGTGTTGAATGTCGAAGAGTCTGTAGGGCACGATAATGCAAGGTCCGACCTTCAAGTCCGGTGACAGATCCTACCCGAGAGTCCCGTTATCCGGATTGCGATAACTTCCTTCCACTCTTAGCTTGCCCTTCCTCCCCAACCTGCAAGCTTTCCCAGCGTTGTACCCCTCCCAGTCGCTTGAATCACCGAGAGATACCCCACACCAAAGCTGTATGACAAGAGTCGGTACCTTGAATGCCGGTTCACACACGAAACAGGCACCCGATGCACAAGCTAAAATCCTCCCCTCGCTGTCTCGAAAGCCAGATGCTGTGTGAAGCCAGCTTGTGTCTGCTAGGACTTTTGCTGCTTCTAAAACAGTTAGCTCCTACCGGTTTCCTAAGGAATATTCTCCTCCCTCCCGGCTGTATCGATCACGAAGGAGCCTGAGAATCCCAACCGTGTGCGCCACACCGCTGGTCACGGAGGGGGTTTTTTTTGAGGGGGGGGAGAAAAGCAGAGAATCGGTTTGTGTCGTGCCGCTTCACTTCGTTTCCATAGGGCAGAAGATACCAGAGGAGAAGTAGCGGGGGTGGTGGAAAGGATCGTTATAATTAGATGGAAATAGGGGAAGCAAGAGATAGATTTGGTACTCGTAGAGGGAGAGTGTATCGGTACCGGTAATCGAAAGTAAGGGTTCGATCTGCGTCCTCTGACAGAGCGTCTACTCGAGCACCAGTGTGCGGTGTTCAACAGACCGGGTGATCAAATCAAGTAGAGCCGACCCTTGTGAATTTTGATCTGAACCCCTATCACCGCTAGAAAGAGGAAAGTCCCAGGGGTGACCTGAGGATTCCTTCCTCAAAAGGTGCCGATACGGATCATGCCCAGTGAGGATAGAAGGGCTTAGTAAGAGCAAAATTCCCACATGTCTCTTCGTATCATAGAAATGGTATTTATTATCCAAGAATGTGATCAGCAGACAAAATGCAGTGACAGGGCTCTACGGTGGGTTTTTTCGCACCTAAATCCACTTCAACCATTTCTTTTTTTCACTTCAGGACCCCTTTGTGATACTGATTAAAAAGATACATCTGTTTCACCTCAGCTTCCTTCGGAACACCGACAGCTCGAGGGGCCCTCTCAGCCTCATCCAATCTACTCGAGTACAGTACACTCGGATAGATCACGTCCACAAAGCCACCATATCTCGACTATCACGGCACTCGGACACATCCCTCAAATCTCATGAACGACCATGACGGGTACTATCGGTAACTTTATCACTGTGAGCCCCTGAAAATCCACCAAACAAGCGCCCTGCCCTAGGAAACCGGACTGACAAGTCTTATAGACAATACTTCTCACATTAGCCTGCTCGGCAATCCTTTTTATCACGTATCGCCATGCCATCCGGCCAATACTAGTGCGGCGCAACATCATCCCCCTAAGAAATCTTCCTCGAGCGTTGTCCGATACATTTCTGTCACAAGGGCGCGTCCGGCTTGGGGATGACGATAACCAAGAGGTCCGCAGCAGAGCTCTAGAGGAGGGTTTCAGAGACGACAGCGACGATGAAGAAGCTCCGGTTGGTGATGACAGGAGACGAGAATCACAACCGAGTACTTCAGACTAAATATCGAGAAAGAAAGGGAGGAACGGGTTATTGATTGTGACCCCAGAGGCACTGGAGGAGGACTGATGCAAGCTATTAGTGTGGGGAAACCAGGGAGTTTGGCGGGGTTCAAAGATAATATTATCATACATTTTCGTTATTATCCCCAATCAGCAAACATCCCATGATTACTGCATCCTTTTCCCTTTGTGTGCAGGTCATTCTTTCCAGTCTCTATATGATACTACATCCGGGCCGTCTCGAATCCACTCCCACCCGCACCTCCATCCAACCACCGTCCTTCCGATTCCCGCAAAATCTCTCCAGATATCAACGCCCTCCCAAACCCCAGTCCCCTCCCATTCTTGCTTGACCCGATTCGCCTGTTCCCATCCCTCGACTTCAGCCACAACCGCTTGGGAGCCCAGCCTCTCGGCAGCCCGCCCAATGGCGGGATAAAATATATCCCCGTCACCACCTTCCGGCGCCAACGCCAGCTTCGGCTCGTAGTTCCTAACGGAACGGCCAGTAGATCTATTGAACGACTCCTTAGAAATGTACGGTGGGTTTGATATTACTATATCCACCCCTTTAACCTTTTCCCCAATTGCCTCGATCAGGCCATCCACAGCTAGGACATTGCCATGGAAGAACTCGATATCTTCACGTACGTTAGCCGACAGTGACTTTTTATTATGTTCAAGATTCCGTTTGCTCGACCGCAGCGCCCTGGCTGAAATATCGACACCGAGTATTCGTGAAGACATCCCTGCCATAGATAATTGATTATGCAGAAGCAGCGGAATACATCCCGTCCCGGTACACAGATCAACAATTCCGACCCGTGAGCGCGGGTGCAGGTGCTTAAGAATATGACCACCAAGATGACTAGTAAACTGCTCCGTCTCCGGTCTACAATAGAAACCAGAATCAGAAACCCAGTGATAACGGATGCCAATAGAGTGACGGTACAGCGCGCAGTGGAAGAAGAAACATTAACGCGGTGCAAACCTCGGAATCAACACCCCTCTCTCACACATAATCTCCAAAGCCCCAAACGGCTGGGTGCCCAACAGGTACTGCAGCGGCCATCCACGCCCACGTTTCTCGCACAGCGCTCTCAACCAACCCCTCCCTCCTCCTCCCCCGGTTCCCCGGGCTCCCCATCGCCCTTCGCGCGCCAGCCAACGCAGTTCCATGGATGCCTGCTCGATCGTCCGGCATTCCGGCAGAAGGAGCGGGAGAAGCGGGTGTCTGCTGCGGGCTGCCCGTATCAGCTCTGGTGCCAAGCGGGGCATTTGTGGCGGTTGGTGGGTGTGGCAGTGTCAAAAAAATGAACGTTGAACTAAGCTTTGAGCACGGCCTCTCCGTCTGTCTGAAGGGGGTGGGTTTTATTTTGGTTGTCTGATGGACGCCGCCGGATCCCAATCGAGTGCTGTACTCGGGTACTGCACATACGCACAGCATCTCCGATCGAGTGCGGCAAATGCATTTGGGACTGCGGGGGTCCTATCTCTAGAGTTTATCATAGCCCTTTGTTTGCTGCCGGTAGTAATGGGTTGAACGTTTTGGCAGATCACTGATAGCATTGTTGGTTTTCTTTATTATTTTATTATTTTTATTTTTATTTTTTTGCACTTTGGGGGAGGTCGTTCCCGGTCGTGAAAATGCACTATCGGATCGGTGACGGGGGTGAGGAATTACTGTCTGTAATGTCTGTACAGTGGCATACATGGCACCACGGTTCCAGCAGCGTATTACACAGGGGCACCGATATACACACGGACAGATACACCCGACCCTCAATTTCTCGAACATTGCACGGTCATCGTCCCCCGAAGTCCTGGGAGCATTGAATTGTCGAAAGTCCCTTGCGGAGCACCCGAGTGCAGGTCCCGCCGTTCACTCGGAACGTGGAGACAATTTCGATCCCAGCCTGGGAGATCAACTGCAAGACCTAATTTGGGTTGCCGTCCTCGGAAGGAGGGAGCTATGATAGAAGCTGCTTTTCAACATATTAGATTATCAAGATCCGATAGTCTAGTTGTCGTAACGGGTTTCAACACCACCAGACTAGCTATGATATGATAACACTCAATTGATCAAAGAATGATGCTCCAAAGTGCCTCGAAGTGGTAGTTTGAGGCGGTAAAGAGAGTCCTGAAGTCAGTTTTTGAGCTCCCTGCCAGGCGTTCCGTATGCACCCCGAAGTCATAACTTATAATTTCTTGTATGAGGGTGACAAGGGATAACTTTCCACCAAGTTGTAGGATTTGTAGGGAGGGTGGGATATGGGTAACATAGTTTGGCAATGCCCCTATTTGACCAATAAAGCTCTCCTTGCCCTCTTTTTTCTTCTTCCCAAATTCAATGAGATCGAGCACCCCTTCAAGATCAAGCACCCCTTTATCAAGCAAACTCTTCTCCCTTTCAAGTAAGTTGGACACACATCTTTCACTTTACAAGACTGATAAAGCAATAGAATATCCACCTTCAAAGCTTCCAGGATGAAGGTTTTTACTTTCATGAAAGACAAGGGAAAGCAATTGAGGAGTAGGTTTTTGATCTAGATATTTAAGGAGGTACAGCCCAGAAGTTTTATATATTTTTCACTCACAGTGGGTACTGTACAAGTATGAGTACATTACCTCCTGCTAGTAAATATATAAAACTTATAGGCTGTACCTCTGTATGGAAATTGAGAAGTGAGTGACAGGTTAACCAAGCCTTGTTCTTCCAAGAGCTGGTGGGAAGGAACCAGCGTACCCTCATCATGGATTTCACCCCAGCCCTTATCATTGTGCGTAATGGAAGGTTTAATCACAGGAGTAGTAAAAAAGATGTTGGGCATGTCAGGAAGGAGCTCAGTACTTCCCACGGAGTGGGCCTCTAGCAAGTGACTAGTGATGAGGGTTGTAGTTCGTCTCTTCATGTCGGGAGCCCTATGCCAGTGAATAGAGTATTGCGCTCCAAGTGTCCTTAGCACTGAGGGACAAAAAGAGACTTAGCGCCCGGGGATGGATCATTTGGTAGCCAGCCACCAGGCCGTGGGCGGCAGCGATGTGCCCCGCCATGGTGCGATTGCAGGGCCTGGAGGAGGTGGTTAACTTATTTACTTAAGAGGATCAAAAAAAAGTATCCCATAACACTCCAAAGAGGCATCTAAGGCACCAATTTTGGACCGCCGTGATGAAATATCACTCTGATGCTCCAGTCCCTGGTTTGAAGCTGCATTTCCATACATAGTATGGTGGTTCTTGGTGTTATACATAGAAGCATAATCGGTGCGGCACGTGACTAAATGCATAAGGTCACGTGTTCGACTCCGGGCCCCGCCGTAGTTATCGTGATGATATCATATTATCACATGAAACGATAAGGCATTTGTGCAGCCTACTCTGTGGAGATACGAGGCATGTGACCAAGGGGTTTTCGCTGGATAACATAGAAGGAGCTCCGCTCTATAAGACAAGACTTAGTTGGTTCAGATTGGTCGATTAGTTATAAAGCTACGACCTCTGCAAGTCTATATGCAATTACAAGAAGTAATATGCATGCCCCTTCAGCTCGCGTAAACTAGAGTCATCCGGAAGACCTAGTTACGATTGGTTAATAACAACTTACTGGTCGAGTTAGTTATCTTCGTCATGCACTCTAAGCTAGGCACATAGAAGAGTCATTGATAAGTCCTTTGACGGAGCTGATTACTCCACTCAGGAAGAGAGCGGGAAAGTTAGTTTTCAGGGTCAAACGGAGTTCGCACTCCAAAGACACTGAAGCGTTAGTATGGCAGGTACATAGTCAGTAACGGATTGGATGTAGGCCGCGACCACCCAGACGCGGACTATAAATATCAAGGTGCCTCCCTAGCTTTTAAGTTGATTATCAGCGACCGGCGAAGAGATCTTATTAATATATTCGTTCTACTTTACTTCTATCTTTATGAGCCTTCTTGACTATCTCCGAGACAGAAGATTACAGGGCCTAGTGTATACTCGCTTGACTTTAGAGTTACCTACCCCCTAATACTCGGCATGGGAAAAAGTAGCATTTCATATAGAAAATTTGAAATATGGCACCAGTCACTTAAAACATACACCTGGCTAGATGTAACATGTAACGCTCCACCCTGTATGTAACTAGCACTATACCCTACCTAACTCCTGTACCTTCTCCAAAATTTTAACATTTATTTTAACTACTTCATATAGTTAATAGGATGTTCAAGTTATTACTTATGTAAAGTGGTTACAAACAAAAGTAAGGGTTTTCAAAAGATGCTAGATTTAGGGTATAGTGTTAGCTACATACAGGGTAGAGTGTTATATACATGTTGCATCTAGCCAGGTGTATGTTTTAAGTGACTGGCATCATACCAGACAAGTAGATCATAGCAATGGTGACCGGTAAGAAAAGATACATTTTAAAGACTACAAAATACAATTTCAAGTCACTGAACCAACCACTAGCCATCATGATTGCTGTTGCCACCAGACAGGATACAGCATTCGACCTTTTCATGAAAGCTACCTCCAGGTCTCTGCAAATGTGGAATTGATATTTGTATTGCCAGTGTGCTCAGTTGCTATAACAAGAACCCTGATACTATGAATGGAAACACAACCTCAACTGACAACTTGAGTACCAGTACTGTACATGAGCCCTAACTACTTGAGTACCATATTAACTTCTGTTATTTGGTTTTCTACCAAGAATATGGTGCAAGAAAGATATAAGCTCTTGACTAATTTGTCATGGCTACCAAATTTTCTTCACTCCAGTCACACGTTTTGTACCTGGAGGAGCTCTCTGCAGTTCTCAGGATTTGCATTCATGAAGAAAGAGGTGTGGCAAGACAGATCAGGTTGACCATGCACAGTGAGAAAGAACAGTGCATGGTGAACCCACATAGCAAGATTATGCAAACTGCACCTAGTTGGATATAGCGAAGAATCTCCTTAGAGTTTTGGAATGTACAGGAAGAATGTACATTATAGATCGGAGGATTTCCTATGGTGTTGTTATGTCTGCGCTTTAGAGGAGTGCCATTAAATTGAGGGATTTCTTTGAATATATCTATAGGGTGTGCCCCTTGATATTTTACTTTCTTTACGCAATCTGATAATCTCCTACCTTTGTATATACTTAGAAATTACGTCGGCTCCTTGCTCTCATGTTTATTGTGAAGTAACCTTCAGATTGTTACAACTCCGCATTCTGGAAACCTTAGAAGAATAAACTTGATACCTCGTTGCATCTTGTTTAAATTCTTGTCTTTGCTTTGCTAGTAATAGCCAGACCCCCAAGCGTGAACCTGCTGTATGGTTCATGCTCTTTGATTAATATACCTTGGCCTTCCTTCGTGTCTGCCTGTCCTCGGTTAACTATCTTGACAATAGTTCTCCTGCCTGAACCCTTTGCGCCCGTGGCCCTCCTTTGTGTCTGCCTGTCCTCGGTTAACTATCTTGACGATAGTTCTCCCACCTGAACACTTTATGCCCATGGCCTTCCTTTGTGTCTGTCCGTCCTCGGTTAACTATCTCGATAATAGTTCTCCTGCCTGAACCCTTTGCGCCCCTGGCCTTCTTTCATGTTTGTCTGTTCTCAGTTAACTATCTTGACGATAGTTCTCTCACCTGAATACTTTGCGCCTGTGGCCTTCCTTTGTGTCTGCCCATCCTCGGTTAACTATCTCGATAATAGTTCTCCCGCCTGAACCTTTTTCGCCTGTGGCACTTGTTCATGTTTGCACGTCTTTGGCTAACTATCTCGATGGTAGTTTCCCTCCTGAACCTGAGTAGGCTTTTGGAACTTAGGAACTCTGACCCTTATGAATCACTTAACAATATTGTATTCAGCAACGAACCTTAGGACCATTTTCAGTTTACCAACAATATTCTTTGACCCTCGCCCTTCGGCCATCTTCTAGTGAAACAGAATAACTGTAACCGGAACTGGAGTTCAGCCTGTTCGGTTCAAGGATTTGTTTTATGTTTTGTTTTACTTGTGGTTTCGAGTATCCTTTGATACTTAGTTTGTTTTACTTGTGGTTTCGAGTATCCTTTGATATTTAGTTTGTTTTACTTGTGGTTTCGAGTATCCTTTGATACTCAGTTTGTTTTACTTGTGGTTTCGAGTATCCTTTGATACTCAGTTTGTTTTACTTGTAGTTTCGAGTATCCTTTGATACTCAGTTTG